CGTGTAGTGAGCAGATGAGGACCTGGGTGTACAATTCTGAAGCTGAACTCAAATGGGAGTTATGAGTTGCAAGCATATTGATAGGGATTTAATCTTTGGAATCAGGTGCGGTTGCCCAGCAAAAACTGGAAGTGGGAAAGGACCAGGATTTAGAGCACAGCCCCGCACGGCAGTGCGAGGGGCAGGCAAATGCAGAGGGGCCCCTCGAGCCGGCTGAGAAGGTTGGACCCACGTTGCAGGAGGAGATGAGAGCTAACATTTACCTTCTCTACCGAGACTTCAGAGCTCCATACCTTAGGGCAGTTGTTCTTCCGACATTAAATGTGTATTAAAATCACCTGGGGTGCTTGCTAAAAATTTGGTTTCCTGAACCTACCTCTAGGATTCCTATATAGCAAGTGCAGAGTGGTAGTCGTTTCTGTATTTTTAACAGGCATCCAAGATGATTCTACCATAGGTGATTCTTAAAATGGACCTTGAGAAACACCTTTCTGGGAGTCAGTGTGAAATGGTTGAATAAGCAAGGCTTTGGAATCAGACTTACGTTAGGGCCCTGGCTTTTACAGCTTACTGGTTGTATGGCCGTGAGCGGGTTGGTTATTTTCAGGTGTTTTCCCATCAGTTCTAGGAATATAATGAATACTCTCTCTCTTAGAATGATTACAAGGTATATGTGAGATGTGCTACATTAAATTCCTGGCATATAGAAGGGGGGGCTCGGTAAATGTCAGTGGTCCCTTCGGCACTTGAAAACCCCAGAACACAGCTGCGAACCTAAAAGCCAGTGGGAAACAGAGAAGGAAATAGCTATCATTAACCTTACGCATTTTGTTTCATAAGAGATCAGACCCAACTGCTTTTTACCTTGAGCCTACTGAATTAGAATTGTGTAAAATTAAGTTACTGATTTAATGGATTTCATTATCTGGGTTTCTCCTGGCAGCCTTCAGTTCTGCAGACATTGAGTACGGGCAGCATGACACGGGCAAGGTGAAAGTGTGAAAGAGAAGCTGAGGGAAATTTAATGGAGGGACGGACACCTCAAAAATCTTGAGGGCGTCAGTGTGTTATAACAATGTAAAAACTGATACTTGAATTAATATTACTAGATCGTGAAGAAAATGTTCAACTGTGTTTAAAAGAATCGTTTGAGAAGTTAGAAAAATATCTATTTCAGAAAGATTTCCATTATAATGACTGACATTTTAGAGTTTTGGCACTTAAAAGAATAAGCTTCTGCTGTTTGGGAAGTTCCCTCAAATATAATATTTTATTAGTCTTTTACAGTTCTGGGTAGATGACCTATATGACCTTATTCCTCGCGTGATTAACATGTTCCTGTTTTTAATAATCTTTCTCAGGTCAACAGGTGGCCTTGAAACTACCCCTGGAGGCACTACAGACCTAGCTTATATGTAAATTATCGGGGATTGCCATAGAATGTTAGGGTTTCTTCTTTTCCTCTGCCTAGAAGAGATGCTGATGTGAAGGGAGAAGAGCAGACTCTTATCGTAGCTGTATTTTGTCCATTTCATGTCCTGAGTGTCCTGTCTCCAAACTGGGAATGTGGCTACTTTATGGTCATGGATTTGCGGAAGCTATTGAGAAAGAATGATGACTGTCCCTTCATTTCCTTCAGCCTTTCTGGTACCATACTCCTGCCCCCACGTGGATATTTATAGGATTATTTATCATTTAATTCTCAACAACCAGCTGAATAGGTCTAAGTACTAGTTTTTCAAATTATTTTTACTTGGTTAAACAACATGTTTTGTTTTGTAGACTTCAGTCATTCTTTGGCAGGAGATTCTCTGCTGTTATATATTCGATTATTGGCGCTTCTTTGTTACCATTCTTCTAGGACACCCATTTTTTGTTTGGTATTTTTGTCAGCCTTCCATACACATCCTACTCTCTTTGGCCTCTTTTCCTCCTTCCTCTCCCCCCTCCCCACCTACCAAGGGAGTTTTTAAAAGTATATCTGCTCTGATTTTTCAACAATGTTCAAAATTTTCAACTTTTTATCAATTTAGTATAGCACTTGTTTTGCTGCTCCATTTTCCATTTCCTTGTACAGTATTTTTCCATTATTTGAGCAGCTCCATTTCAATTTCTACCAGTCTCAGTCATTTCTTTTATTGTTTTATATTACATTGTTTCACCTTTCATCTCTTTCAGAATCAATTTTTTTTTCATTTTTAAAGAACACAAAGCAATTGCCTAGTATTTATTTCTGTGTCTTGTAGTTTGCTCCAGCTTGCAACACCTCGAGTGCTCTGTTATGTTTTTGTGTTACGTTACATGTTTATGGCACCTCTGGTTATTTTGTTTTGGGGTTTTGTTTTGTTTGTTTGTTTTGCTTTTCCTCTTATCCTTGGACAAAGAGCCTTGGCTCTGTAATCTGGGATGCTTCTGCATTGGATTAGTGGTTTCTCTGTGGTCCATCTGACTGGAGGCTGCTTCCATCCTGCTATGAGACTCTAACCCAAGATCTGACACCTGGTCCCACAGCCTGTACCTGGGCATTTTTGTCTGAAGTGGATCTGTTAGTCTGAGGAGGGATCACCTAATTTGGCTGCCCGGGTGGTTGTCTTACTCCTAGTTAATCTGCCATGGGAAGATATCCTGCTCCCCGTAGCTCGTCCACACTCAGTGTTTCTAGTGCTGATTTTACATCTCCAGATTCGAACACCCAATCCTAATGCATTTCCATCCCCACTCATGTTCCATTGCTGAGAACTTGAGGGAGAAAGCATGGGCTTAGGTCAGGCAACCACGCGGGTGGAGCCCTCGTGAAGCAGGAGAGCCACCTTTCTCCGTCTGGCCCTTGAAAGCCCTGCTCTTTTGCTGGTGAGTTTAGGGAAATCTCTCAAAATTGTCCAGGATAGCTTTGATATTTTGCTTTTGACTATTTCTGTATCTTGTAGTGAAAATTAAAGCCTTTTGCAATCTAGTGGATCATTGCCTAATGTACTGGGAGCACTTTGTGTCATGGGTGTGTGTTTCGATGAGAAGATAGGAAAGGTCTGGTGAGTTGTTACCAGCTTTTGTCTCACTGAACCTGCAATGCTCCCTCACCTGTTTTAAGTGCTCAGTCTAAATTTATTGAATGAGGGAAAGAATGACAGTCATCTTTGAGAATTTTAAAAGAACCAACTGTGCTTAGCCATTTATTATTCTGTGCATAATAGAACCAACTGTGCATAACCTTTTTTTATTGTTATGCCTGTTCACCAATATTATTGTACTAGTTAGGTATTTTGCAAAATATGTCCCAGGAGTACCAGTTCCATGAACTGTTCTCTGAAGAAGGGTTCCATGGCCCTGACCAGCATGGTTCAGTTGGTTGGGCACTGTCCTGCAAAGCAAAAGGTTGCCAATTCGATTCCTGTTCAGGGCACATGCCTGGGTTGTGGGTTTGGTCCCCAGTTTGGGTGCATATGCAGGACAACCGAATGATATTTCTCTCTCACATCAATGTTTTTCTCTCTTCCTTCCCCTCTCTCTAAAAATAAATAGATCTTAAAAAAAAAGAAAAAGGGTTCCACAGACAAGTAATTTTGGGAAATGCTGCATACTAAGTCTTTCTTAGAAAAAGTCAATTAATGTGTAAATATATTAAGACCTCAAGAAGGTTTGCACTAACAAAACCTGTTTAATTTAGAATTTCCCAAACTAATTTGATCATGGAAGCCTATCCATATCTCAAAGCATACTTTGGGAAATGCCATGCTAATTTTTATAATTTTTCTGTACCTCATACAGTTCATTATAGATTGTTTCCACAAAGCAAACTTTAAATTTTTGAATTTGAATTATTTATTCAATCATGCAAAGAGATGTAAATTATGGCTAAATATGATTAGAATATCCAGATTTGTCAGGAATTGCTCACTCAGATTTTTTTCATTTGATGCTTTAAACAAGATGTGACCCTGATGACCTTTTTAAAATACATGTTATTTCAGGCATTGAATTAGTATATTTAAGAAAAGGAGACAAATATTACTTGGTGCATTGAGCTGAGGGAGCCCATTACCCCATGATATGGAAGCATTTCTCTATTTTCCCCAAGTTTAGTAATAAAGAGGAGTATTCATATGATTTTAATATTGTATATTAATCTATGACATAGAACTATAGCTGTACAGCTTTTCTGTCAAAATGGCATAACTGGGTGAAGTAGAAAAGGAAATTATATTTTCCTTTTTGGAGTATCAAATCCTTTGTTGTATTCCTGCTTTATATTTCTTTACTGTCTGACTAAAACTCAACTCACCTTTTCTTTGGACACTTCGCATGTGCTTTACTAGTTGGAAGTGTCCACTGACTTGTTAAGAAACCTTTTTGGGGGGTTTGGTTTTGGTAATTAATGCTTTTGTACTTGCTTTACCACTCCTCTCCATCCAAATACTTGGTTTTCCTCTCACATCTTTTAATAATTAATTTTCTCTTGTTCTGTTTTGCTTCTTAAGTTTAGACTTCAATTCATATCAGTTTGGGATTCTTTAAAAGTCAGATTGCATTTTAGAGGCTTTGGGGTAGGGGGTGGGCCTGGGGGGGTGGGTGATGAGAAGAGAGAGCGGTCGATACAGCCCAGCGGTTTCTCATCCAGTCAGGTTTTCCCACGGACTTACTAAGCCCGCAAGAACCGCAGATTTGCAGTGGGCTTGTCTAGCAAGGTTTGAATTCCAGTTCCTGAATTTTTTCCGACATGAAAGTGTCTTGTTTTCACTCATCCCCCTGAATAAGGCCGCTGCCCGCAGACCTCCTCTGCTGGTTCCCTCTGCAGCCTTTTAAAGCCCACCCATCCCAAATACCTCTGTACTTTCAGAATTAAAAGTGGTATCTAGAAACATTATTTAAACACATTGTGAAAACAGTATGGTCAAAAACTACTCTTTTCAAGAATTTGACAAAGAAAATAGAAATAAAAGATAATTGACTGGGCATTTGTACAATGATAAATGAAATTCTGCCTTTCATTCTATCTTCACCAGACAAACAGCAGAAAGGTGAATTTGCGATAGATGGCTACAGTGTCAGGATGAATAGCACTCTCAGGAAGGATGCAAAGAAGGACTGCTGTTTTGAAATCTCTGCCCCTGACAAACGTGTCTATCAGGTTCGAGTTTTTATGTTGTTTTGAAATTAAGTTGATAAAGTGTTCTGATTTCATTTATAAAGACATTAACGTTTTGTTAAAACAACTCTCCCTGACACGTTAATAATAAAAAAATACTGGTTTTTATACACTGAACATTTATAGAAGAGGTAATACATTTAAAAAAATTCAGATTGGTTCAAGTGATAATCTTGAAAGAGAACAAGTGAGTGTGTAATTTATCAGTTACTTCACATGTTTCATTTTATGTCTGTTTTAATAGAACTGTGTGATTTCTTAAAAGAATTACATAGTGGAAAGAATAAAATTATCAAAAGAAAAATATCAGAGTGTTAATGCATATTGTAGTGCTTAGGTTTGTGGGAGAAAATGAAGGTGGAAGGCACGTATCAGCTCTGCAATTTAAGAGCTATCAGAGAGCATCAATATGGAATGTATGTTTAATAAGTTTTAAATATCTGAGATTGCAGTTGAAAGCCAGTTAATTAAGTTGTCAGATAGTGTGTTGGAATCTGACAAGAACATTTTTAAGAAAACTGTACCCGGCAGTCTAAAGAAATTCATGGGTGTCTTCTAATTGTCAAGGGCAAATTTTGTTCATCAGTCCTGTCTCTGACATTGATGAAGAGAAGCAGCTTTTTTTCCTGCACAGCTGCCAGCTGCTGATCAGAGTTTCAAATCCATCATCCTCTGCTTCAATTACGTAAATTTGTCAAAATTAACTGTACATTATAAGAAGCATCCTTGCAAGAAAAGTAGTACTAGACATGAGAAGAATTACTAATGGTCTTAAAGAAATGATAAGGATGCGACATACCTTTCATTTCTACTGTGGTGATTTTTCTTGTTATCGTTTGTTTTTTTATTAGTTCACAGCAGCCTCTCCCAAAGATGCCGAAGAATGGGTACAGCAGCTGAAATTTGTATTACAAGGTAAGACCAGTCAATTGAACGAGTTATTGCAATCTTTAAATGATGAATAACTGAATGATTCAGATTTTCATATATCAAAAGCTTACTGAATTTCTGTGAGAATGACCAAGAGAGTATGAGTGGTATCAGTATAGACCACTGACTTCAGATTTATGGAACTATTCTTTAAGTTCCAATGGGCAACTTTGCAATTCACATATTTATGCAACAATAATTTTTAAAAATGTTTGAGGTTAAGGATGTAGCATATAATAACCCTGTGACTTTGTAGGGCTGCATAAAATTAGAATGTAGGGGTTTGCAGACCTCTTTTGTGTCTTTGACAAATTCCCTTCCTGAAATGTGGTTTGTAGATATGGGATCTGATATTATCCCTGAGGAGGAGGATGAAAGAGAAGAGCTATATGATGATGTGGATCACCCTCTACCAGCCAGCAGCGCACCGGCCGGCGCTCAACCGCCGATTGATGATGAAATTTATGAAGAACTTCCAGGTATTTATTATCTGGTGATTGATTTAAGGATTTGGGGACTTTCTGATTTTTAATGTCATCAGATTGACAACTTAGGTAGTAAATGAGCCCCGGCTGGCGTAGCTCAGTGGATTGAGCGCGGGCCTTTGAATCAGGGTTGCTGGTTGAATTCCTAGTCTAGGTACATGCCTGGGGTGTGGACCAGGGCACATGAGGGGCAACCACACACTGATGTTTCTCTCCTTCTCTTTCTCCTTCCTTCCCCGCTCTCTAAAAATAAATTTAAAAAAAAATTTTTAAATGTAGTAAATCATGAGCTATTAAGACCAAGGACAAAGAAAATCTTCAAAATTCTATTTTACGAGAGAGGTTCTGCTTGAGGTATTTCGAGCGGAGGCACACTTATGAAAAGTGAACAGAATGTTAAAGTGAAGCAGATACAGTCCTAATCTCATGGGACTTTTGGCTCATTAGCATTGTTTATGCTACATAATTTTTTAATTAAAAAATTGACTTGCCTTACAGTTTTTTCCACGAACTCACACATCATTTTTTATTTATCCATCTTGGAACTTCCATTAACCAGAAGTTCTGTGCACACCCCATATGTCCACCACTTCTGCCTCCTACACTCCTCCTTCCTGTGTGTGTGGCGTTGTCTTGGAGGAATATTGTCCAACTATAAGCAGAGGCCTTTTACGGCTTGCATTTTTCTTACTTGAAATTGGATCAGTAGGAATGCCTTTTACTCTACATTGTCAAGCATGGTTTAGCGTTTGTATACTTCAGTATCTGTTATGTAACATAAAATTAATTGTTTATTAGCTTATTTCACTTGTAGTTTTAAGCACCCACCTAAAATAGAAAGATGGGCATCAGAACTGAGGATACTTAGAATATGAAAACATTAGAGGAATTATTGTATGACTCTAGATTAAAATGAGCCCTTTTCTGGCTATTAAAAAATCAGTAGTTAGAGAATAAAAAGGATTATAAGCAGTATAAATGAGATTTAACTAACATCTAGAGGGGCTATTTTTCTCTGAATAGAACAATTTAATGACATAGTATAAACCTTAACATTGACTTCAAGAATATGTAAAATCTTATAAATTAATGTACAAATGTCATTTTCAATGAAGTCAGTAGAACATAATAACTAAATCATGGACTTTAGAATCAAAAAGTTTAAATTCTGACTGTACCATCTAGCTCAGTGACTTTAATTTTTTTAAAGATTTTATTTATTTATTTTTAGAGAGAGGGGAAGGGAAGGAGAAAGAGAGGGAGAGAAACATCAGTGTGTGGTTGCCTCTCACACGCCCCCTATTGGGATCTGGCCTACAACCCAGCTGTGTGCCCTGACTGGAAAATCCAACCAGCAACCCTTTGGTTCACAAGCCAACACTCAATCCACTGAGCAACACCAGCCAGGGCTGGCTCAGTGACTTTAAAAGTCCATTTCTTCATCTGTAAAATGGGAACAATATCATGGTGGGGAAGGGAATGAGTGAACGCATCTAAAGCTCTTAGCCCCATGCTCAAATCATAGCAAGTCCACAGTAAATTATATACCACTGTTATTTTCATTATTGTATCTGGTAAATTCGTACAAGTGCTTATGTGAGATATAATAATAATTTTCTGAATATTTAAGAATTAATTATTTTAATGGTATTATACATTCAAGACAGTATAAAAACTACTCAAAATGTGTGTCTACATATTGCCTTTTACTATTCTAGAAGAAGATGATTAGTATAAAAACACAATTCGTGGGTAATAGTGATTTGTATATATTTGTTATTTTAATGAGCTACACATATATGTTTACAGCTCCCTCCTTTCTGATTTATCCCAAGGAAATGGCATCTGCTATAGTATTAGTTATCCTCAAGTAAGGAAGAATGTTCTCTTGACTACTTGCTTTTAGCCACACCATATTATTAATACAATTATGCTAATTTTAAAATGTTCTTAAGAGCTTGTGAGAATGTATACTGATGTAACATGGGAAAGGATAATGCCTTTAAACATACTAGTGTCATAAACATTTCATTCCTTTAAAACCCTGCAATGAATGAGTTACATTACAGTTGTTGAATTAACTGTTAATTATGTTGTGTTTCTTCAACTTGATCATTCTCTCCTCACCCTCCCAAATAAAATATCAGTGAAGAATAAAGATCAAATATTCATAGTCATTTTTATAACAAAGACCCAAAGAAAATCTCCTGTAAATAGCTTGAAGTCTTAAAAATATGAAACGTCTTTTATTTTCCCTCACTACAGATGTTCTTCTTCATCCTTTTTTTGGCCCGGGGCCATATGATTGTTGGAAGTAACTGGTTACTCTTTAAGTAGTCTTATTCCTTGCTGTGGTCCTGGAAGAAATCTAAGCTGCTCTGGGATTCCTTGGCCCCTGCCTGGGATCCCATTTGCTGTACAAAGTGATGGAGCTTGATAGACCCCGCGACTGTGCCCCTGGGAAGGGGACTGGCGGAGGCAGTCCGTGGAATGTCTCGTTCTTCCGCTCCCCGGTGGAACCACGGCGCGCTTCAACATCTGCACGGTTCAACTTTGTCAAGTTTGAGCCGGTTGCTGCAGAGGGGATTTTTCCTAATGAATGCCCTAAAGTTGTCTTTTAGAGTTAAGCTTTTGTTTGATTAAATACCTAAAACTAGAAAGGTAACTTTTTTCCTTAAAAGTACAAATGACCCCTCTCCCAGGATGAGAATGAAGCTAGTTGCTTTCACTTCAGTGAAATAGGAATACAATTTTGGGAGGAAGTGAAAACAGTGGAAAAGCAGTGAACACATTCACAAACTGCTGGTGTTTTTCCAGTTCTGTACAAAGAACTGCATTTCTCAGAAATCTGGTTAAATTCCCAGAATTAGTAAATATGACCATTTCAACACAATTTTCTGTCAATTACATATTATTGAAAACTAGTCCTCTTGGTTGAAAGGTGAAGTGTGTAAATCTGTTTGCAGAAAAATCTAAGCATTCAATGTGTTACTTTAAATCATAGAGCTCTTTTTCTGAGAAAGTAAAGCTCTTATTCTAATAAATGTATTTTTTAATGTAAAATAAACCCGCAGTGTTTAAGTCTCAAGAGGAAGAAGAAGAAGACATTATTTAAAAAATTGTATTGTGAAATATCCCTTGAAAAACATTTATAATTCTATGGGAGAGTAAGTAGTTTCATTGTAATTGTTTTTCAGTTAGAATATTCTAACTTTATTACAGCAACTTCTCTTTAATTTCTTGTTCATTAATTTTTAACTAACTTCATAAAAGAGTAAGAATAAATTTGTAAAATTACTGTGCATTTAGGGGATTTATACATACGTATGGAAAAGTCGAGCGAGTGCTGTTTCTGGAGGGTCCTAAAAGTATTTGGCTTTTCTTCAGCTACCCTATTGCTTTGACACCTTCTATGCCGTAGGAACTGTCAGCGCAGGCTGAGTCAGGTTTGCTTGCGTTGGGATGTTCCTCTAGCATATTTGTGTTTGCAGAGCTAACGTACTGATCAGAGTGCGTTAAACTGTTTCATAACACAGTAATGAGTTTATGTGGCTTAGCGTAAATTCCAGAAGTTATTGCTCATCTTTCCATTAGAAATGCAGCAGAACATTTTTCCTTGATTTTGAATCTTGAAGAGAGAAAATAGTGCTTGCGAAAGTGCTGCAGAAATCAACCCATCTTGCTCATCTCTTCTGGTTACCAAGTCACTTGCTTTTTAATTTTTCTGTAATGTCAGGAAATTATGTAGAAGCAGCAACAACAAAAGGATTTTTCTAGAGATAGGCCGAATAGAATCAGCCCAGTATCAAGAACGGTAACCGCCCATTAGCCTATTAGATGGGTAACCTGCAGAGGAATTGCACTTGAAATTCTTCTGGCAGGTGGACTAGAGGAGAGAGGGCAACACAACACAGGAAGACAAATTTTCAATTCCATTAACCTGTTTTTTAAAAGTGTTAATTCATTCCTTTAAAAAAATTAATGATTGAACTCTTCTGAGCCAGCCAAGGATGTTTTTGTCCTTTGGTCATTCCATTTTAAATGTATTCAGTCCAACTATCTGTATTAAAAATGGAATATGAAACAAAAGGCAGCTATAATTCTTTTTTTTCAGGGAAGCTGTTATTTATACATAAAAAGGACAGTGTTCATGTATTTAAATCTGGAGTACCTTCCAGCAGGTGCACACAAATGCTAACTTCATCAACACATGGTCACAAACCCCCAGAATATATTTTGGCTTTATTTTCTTGCTCAATGATTATTACTCATATTACTAAGTTAATATCATTATAGGGATCCTGGAATCTCTGGTATTAACATCATTAGAAGCCATGGTAAGTTCTGGTTTCACCGAAGAATTTTTCTCATTTCTTCTTTAGAAGGCAGTGGAACAATACCAGTTCTCTTTTTCACAGAGCCACATATATTCAGAATTTTACTACTGTTTGTCCAGGTAGTCTGCTGGCATTCTTTTTCCTTAAACCATGGACCTGAATCATAAAGTTATTAAGCATGGTGATACTGTATTTGAATATATAATGTGGTAAAATTTTTTCCCAAGTAGGTAACTAGATTAGAGTCAATTTTTTGGATGGTTTTAGCTCTGAACTCTGCTGAGAGGGTTATCTGAAGTTAGAGAATGTAAGGAAAACATTCATAAACTAAGGTCACTGTACACATCTAACTGTTTAAATTTTTATCTTTTTCGAGTATGATGTGGTTTTAGTGTCCCTTGTAGAATGGCCTATTTCATCTTATGGCATGCAACCTTGGAATACAGTTGTGCCTGCCACGTAGCTTTTCTCTATTTCGCCATTGGCATTACAAATGAACTATTTTCATTACAAGAGATGGTTTAACATATATTAAAGCCCAAAATACCTGTGTGCATGCAAAACATTTCTGTTGGTAGAAAGATTAACCCAGTTTTGTAACTAGGAGTTACATCCGTGGTTTACAACCAGAGAAGATTTGGGGCCCCAGGGTACATT